TTATACGATGTTACTCTCTCCACATGTATTTGTTCTTCATATGTTACGGTTATCTTCAACGAAAAATTGATAACGAAGGAAAACAAAGATCAAAATTCGTCGAGTTCGGCAGATCTTTCGACAGAGATAATTGAAACTGTTATATCGTAGTTGGACAAGTTAGACTCGAGGAAACGAGTTTAATTCGAGTGATTAGCGCATAGTCCGCGTTGAACGAAGCGAACGAGAGAACGCGAACGGTCCCTGTTGCACGCACGCACGCACGCACGCACGCATGCATGCATACATACATACATACACACATACGTGCCCGCGCGCGCATACATAGACACATGAGAGAACACATGTACAAAGAGAAAGAGAGAGAAAAAAGAGGGATACACATATATTCCGTGAGATCCGAGAGTATACCTGGACTCGACGCACATACCAGCGACTCTCCATAAAACAATTTTTTGCGCACCCACGAGATCCGCTACGAGACCTTCTTCCGCGTATGGAATCAAAAGAAAGAAATCGTCCGAATGGCTCTCTCTCTCTCTCTCTCTCTCTCTCTCTCTCTCTCTCTCTCTCTGCTTCGTTGAAAGTCGAAAACCGCTAAGGCTCAGAAATGAAACTGCATTTTACCATACAGATTTTTCTATTAATAATTAAGAAACTTTTCGATAATTATCGCTTAATCGTTAAAGTCGAACTAAAAACTTCGCTTCGCCCGTGGACACAAAAAATAGCACATCTTACACTCTCTATTCGTAAATTTGACATATATACATATATATCTATTTCTCTCTCTCTCTCTCTCTCTATCTCTCTCAGCTTTGAACTTTGCAGAAACAACGATAACACGATAACATCGATGATAAGAATGGTAATAAAACGAAATCCTCATAGTATTAAATATTCAATATCTTCGTATGTGTATCTCCTAATAATATCAATTTACATGGTGAATAATTACATGAATTATTAGAGAAATATACTATGTATGTACTTACTAACGTACATACATAGTTTCAAATTGATCTTGTTAAGGAAATGTCTTCCCTTCGTTAACTTTGATGTATCCAATGCAAGAGGAAGAAAAGAAGCATCCGAGCACTTTCGTCAATCGTTCGCATTTATGGTGATAATGCGAAGGCACTTCGCGAGACTGCGAGAAGAAAAAAAAAAAAGAAGTCATCGCGATAATATACGATTGCTTACGAAGTCAATACAAAGCACTGATTTGAATACGGGGAGGAAAAGAAGAAGTCCATTTAAAACAAAATACGTTCTTCATTAAAAATTATAAATCTTCCTTGACACTTTTTTTTTTTTGTTTTTTTTCCCTAAGATCGATCAAAGTCATGATCATCAGCGTTAACGAATCGATTACGTAACAATATAATAAATGAATATATATTACGAAAGAAGTTTAACGTTCTTAAGACTTCGGATTTGTACGAGATATATCTTTAAATTAATATGCTGAAACATTTTCAAGAACGAAAAATAATTTAATAAATGAGAAGTAGAAACAACGTATGGGTTTTAATTTAAATCGACTTTCATCGTTTATAAGTACGAACAACTGGTGAGAGTACCTTTAATAAGATATCTGTCTCGTTAATAGAATCGTCTCTCTCTCTCTCTCTGTCTCTCTCTCTCTCTCTTCTCTCTCTTTCTCTCTCTTTATTACTCTCATTGGATAGAAGGATATCACATTAGATCGATCGATCACTTGCAAGATATATTATTTGCTGAGGAAATTGCGTATCGACTATCGACAATTATCCATCAAGACCTTCACGCGCTATCCACGCTTCGGTCTTGTCATGAAAGCAAATACTACGTTATATTATTTATCGGAAACAAGAAAAAAATTAATTACGAAGTTAGATCGTTTTCATAAACACCGTCGCTTATCTCGTTAATTACAAAATACTTCGATGATAGAAAGTAACATGAGCAAAGAAAGATTCCTTTTTTTTCGAACAATTATCATATTAATCATTACCATCAATTATCGGGAACGCTTAATACAAAAAGAAGCGTAGAATATAAAAAGCAAAGGTCGAACGGATCGCGTTCACCGATATCACATATGTCCACGTAATTTTTTTTCAAGCGCACGTATATGTACTACATACGTACATATATAGAGAAGTATATATAAGTACGTAATAAACATATATAAGTACGTAAGCAAATGCAGAATCTTCGAACGGAAGAAATTGAATCGGCCATTCTCGGGCTCACCGACTCGTAGCTTACGCAACGTTATGCACTTTACATAGGTCGTAAAGGGAAAAGAGCGGGAAGGCGCGTGCGGTCGAACGCGCACGATTCCGCGCCTTCCCTCTACGTCTGGTTCACATACATACATACGTACATATATACATACGTACATATATATATATATATATATATACATCATACGTACATAGAATATGCATATACATGCATACATACGTACGTAGTACTTACGCATATAAATGCGAGCAGAGACATCGAGCACATTACGCTACTATACGCTATATATACTTATCTACGTGTATATACTTATTTACAATATATAAACATAGAAAAAAAGATACTAACCGTCAACTGGATAAGATGCGTAAAGTAAATAAAAAAGCGCTAATGCGAGAACACTCGCGGAGCAGCTACCGCGTGCGCCTCTCATCTTCTTCCTCGTCCTCCACCGTTTTTTCCTCCTCTTCCTCTTCCTCCACTTCCAACGGCGAAAAGAACGATTCCGAGGAAAAGAGGAATGAAATTCTCAATCGTAACGCCCACTGAGCTGCTCACTGGCAACGCTTTCCGCAGCTTTCCTGGCGGTCGCATTCGCGGCTCCTGCCAAACTGCACCGGCGACGACGACGACAGCAGCAGCGGTAACAACAACAACCACGGCTCGACATCGATGTCGAAGAACGCGACGACCTTGTCATCTTTCTATCGTCGAACGTTCGTTACCTTCTCCTCCCCTTCTCCTCCAGTTCTTCTTCTGCCTCTTCCAACACCGTTGATGGACCACAGTAAATCCACGACTTGGACTAAAAAAAAGCCTACAAAAAATATCTCTCTCCCCTTTCAAACAAGTGCAAGACACTGCACCTTCCCCTTTAACTACTTCTCTCGCTCTCTCTCTTTTTGTCTTACAATGCACAAAGATCACATCGCGATTTTTGTACGCAACATTACACCATCAAATTATTCACTACCGGCACAGATGCGGCATCTTTCACCAGCGGCGCGGAATTGCTTCGAAAATCGTGCGAGCCTGCGCTCCTTCCGTTTCGTTCCACAGTTTCACTCTTACCAAACGGACCTACTCTTCCACCACGACAATCCTCCTCGATTATTCTCTTTTCAGTTGAATCAAACGACGTCAATGCTTACCGACCAACCATCTAGCAGTCGCCACACAACCGGCCCCGCCGCCATTTTACAACCATCCGCTGCTTCTTAGCTAGAAGCCCGGCCTATCGTCGCTCTTCCTCTCTTTCACTCACTCACTCTTTCTCTCTCTTCGTTCTTTTTGATCGAAGTCGAACGACCATCACACCGCAACTCGTTTTCTCTCTTTCTCTCTCTTTCACCCTCGCAAACTCCTCCTTCTCCACTTCCACCACGATACTTCCCCCCCCCCCTATCGCCGTCACTATACCCGTCCCCGTTATTACTATTCTCCTTTTTCCTACACGACACCCGACAATCTCTGACAAATTCTCATTATTTCCATTAAATCCATCCACATTAGAAATTTCGCTACTCCGTAAGATTTTGCCGTCGTTGTCTCGTCGCGTTGTCACGCCGATCACACGCACTTCTTACACTTGCCACCAAATAGCACGATACGCTATGACAATCAGTCTACTACAACTCGCGATTTGCTAATGTCGATGCTGCTGCCGTTTTGCCACTATACCGCACTCTATTCGTACTCGCAGCGCCGCTAGCGACGCCCGATAATATTACATTCGCGAGTAAAATTGGCATGAGAATTTCAAAAATGATCGGCTTATTTTATTTTTTCACGAAATGCAATCGCAAATCTTCTTAAATGGGCAGGCGTATAAAGATGAACTGAATACTTCATTTACGTAACAATAATCGTATATTTATTGCTATCGATGGTTTACACCATTGTAAAAAGTGTATACAAAGTGTTGTTTAAATTGAAGAGCAGAAATAGAGATATAAAATCAAATGAATATAATTCTGATCCCAAACAGTTACAGAGGACGCAAAGACAAATGGAATCATTGAATAATTCTATTAAAATACTAATAAGTAGTAATAACCGTGGTCTTCGAATAGATTATCATTTGGAAACCACAGCGAACGAAACATTTTCGATCCATTTGCGATATAGGAACGTAAGTAAAGACAATGATTGTACTTTCGCTCCATTATCCAATGTTGTATCCTGTTCAGTTCTCTTGAATACTTCATTTCAAATCGTAGTGACGTATACCAGAATTAATAAATGCATCATCCTGTGCAGTATATTTCAACAAAATAAACGTTTGCGAAATTCATCTCATATCAATTTTGTAAATAATTCTGCACTCTTTTAATAATGATTGACTATCTTTATGAAAACAAATGCAATAATAGTGCGTTTAACATCAACATCGTTCGATGGTCACATTTTTCAAGAATTTCGTTCTCGGAATGTCTTTAAATCAGACACATTAATCCTAAACTTTTTTTTTTTAAATGTACATTGTTGTTCGAAGGTGATATTCTTACTAAGATAATGTTTTAATACAGTGGAACGATTCGCAAAATACTTTGTTCTCACGGCTTGAGAAAATATAAAGTTCAGTGCCGTGAAATTCTTTAAGTATTCTTAGTAATACTTTTGCAGCAATACATTCGTACTAATTACGAATTTTTCTGGCGAAGACTAAACTTACTGCAGTCAGTTTATGAAACATGATATGCCGATTTCCAAAATAACTCTGATACGATGGAGCCAGATAAAAAGTTTTATCACTTTGTCTGCCTTCATATAGGCCACAGCCAATATGTAATTATTAAATCGCTATGGTTCTTTCGGACTTCTTTTCGCTTCATTTTTAATTTTAGATTATTTCAAATCGAACATACTGCTTCAAGCTAGCACATGTACGAATTTTTTTTTTACATTTGTGTTTGACTTCCCCATACTCTCGAAATAGCGGTTCTCGTGAGTTTCTTTCCGATGGTTTGCACGATAAATCCTATTCTTTGCAATGAGTCGTGATCAAGGATCTTCCTTCCATCAAAAATATAAGCTGGCTTCATCATATTGGTATAAATTTTTTTATAATCGAGTTCCTGAAATATCAACACAGATTAATGATATCAACTATTTTAAAATATAAAAACATAATTATTCCTATCTTACAATCGGATTATTATGCGGTATAATTATCCGAATAATATGCCTCCATAATCACAGTGATAATTAAATGTATCTACATACGTGTAGATTGTAGAAAATATTGTACTCACCATAAACTCGTCCCATTCCGTGCACAAAACGATAGCATGAGTATCTTTGGTAGCGGTATAAGCGTCCTTGTAAATACTGATACGATCTTTAACTCGTTTTGGATTAGTTGTTACGCTCGGATGAGTCAAATCTTCTATAATCTGTATTTCTTCCACCTGAAAAAATCAAATGAATTTTTTCATTTAGAACATATGTTTCGATCGAAAAACATTATATAAAAAGGAAGATGAAAGATAATATAAAAAGTGAAATCAACCTTGGGATCGTAGATGTGTAAGACAGCACCTTCGTCAAGTAGAGTCTTGGCAACGTGAATGGCGGGTGACTCACGAGTATCGCCGGTATTTTTTTTGAAGGCAAAACCTAACATGGCGATCCTTTTATCCGTGACAGTATTAAATAACGACTCGATCACTTTTGCAGAAAATCGTGATTTTTGATACTCGTTCATGTCTATTACTTGTTGCCAATAAGCAGCAACTTCTGGTAAATTAAGACATTCACAAATGTACACCAAATTTAGAATGTCCTTTTGAAAACACGATCCACCAAAGCCCACTGACGCATGAAGAAATTTGGAGCCTATCCTAGAATCAAGACCAACGGCCCGTGCCACCTCCGACACGTCGGCACCCGTGGCCTCGCAGACCGCCGACAGAGAATTTATACTTGATATGCGCTGTGCCAGAAAAGCATTGGCTGCCTAAAACCGTAAACAATCGTAGAGATCTAAGCTATTTCGAAAACGTTAGTACTTATTTCTAAGTTTACATAATGATCTTTTCGTGCAAACGTATTTAATTGCAGTCACGATAAAATATATCATATTATTATTGTTGTTATTATTATTATTATCATTATTATTATTATTATTATCATTATTATTATAATTATTATTATTATTATTATTATTATTATTATTATTATTATTATTATTATCATTATCATTATCATTATTATTATTATTATCATTATTATTATTATTATTATTATTATTATTATTATTATTATTATTATTATTATTATTATTATTATTATTATTATTATTATTATTATTATTATTATCTGAATTATGACATAAACGATTTAATATATCTTTTTAAACTAGCTAATATTGTTTGATTCCTCCCATGTACTTAATTCTGTTCAACAGCAACTAGAAACTTTATTACATGAGATGAGCATAATAACAACTACTTTCTTTGCATACCAAATCAACAACATTAACATAATAACGTACACGTACCAGCTTTGATAATTCTGAGCTCCAAGTATTGGTAGTTAAAATATTTTCTCTTGGTATCCAATGCTCATAAACTTTACACAATTCCTCGATAGCTGCCTGTCCTTCTGGTGAATCCTCACCACCGATCAATACACGATCAGCATTTACCAAATCTTCGATAGCAGTTCCTTCTGCTAAAAATTCTGGATTCGACAAAATCTAAAATAGTTTTTATTGCGTACAATACGATGTAAGAGATAAAAAAAAAAAAGAAACATACAAAAGAATTGATTATCAGATAAAATACATATTTACATTACCTGATACGAAACACCTGGTTTATGATTAGCACGAAGGATGTTCATGATACTCTCAGCAGCTCTTACAGGAACCGTGCTCTTTTCGACAACAATTTTATCACTAGTCGCAATCTCTGCAATCATTCTAGCAGCACTTTCGACATATTTCAAATCTGCCGCTCTTCCCTTTCCATTACCGAACATTTTTGTCGGTGTATTTACAGATATAAATATTAAATCTGCTTCCATAATGGCGGTTTCGATATCGGTGGAAAAAAATAAATTTTCACCGCGACATTTACGGACTACGTCGTCCAATCCTGGCTCATAAATTGGTAATTTATCAGAGTTCCATTGTGCTATTCGTTCTTTGCTCTTATCAACGACAGTTACTCGTATTTCGGGACATTTTAATGCGATCACGCTACATGTTGGACCACCGACATATCCGGCGCCCATCCCGCAAATTTTTTTTATCGTCATCTTCCTTTATTACGCCTTTTCTTCCTATGAAAAATACATTTTTAACATCTTTAATATTTCTCTTTATATACTGTAAAAAGCCTAAGTATTCGTACAGTAAAAATATTTTATATCGTTATACGTATATATATTATATGCGATATTATAGTATTGACTTCGACATTAAATATTTGATATCACAAAATGGAATTATTAATAAAAATTAATGTATAAAATATATATATTCATTTCGAAAGTTATCAAAATCAACTTTAAACGTATGTAATTCTAAAAAATAAAATTTTAATATATAATACATGATTTTTTCTTTTTTTGAAAAAGAAAATCTCTTTATACCGACGTTATTATTGAATCTTATGAGTGTCTATATTATTTTGGAAATATTATGTACCTACAAAATCTTTAAGCAATTTACCTTGATGTTAGATTTTAAATAATAATAAAAATTATTGCAAATGATTGGGTAGAGTGTAAAGTAAATCTATCCTTGATCCTTTTTCAATTCGATGACGTACGAACGACGTCTTCCTGAGAAATATTGACACTGCACCTATACAATACCGAATTGGAAAAAGACACAAGTGTAAAAGTACTGACAATCAAAAAATGTTTTACCTGAACTCGAAAATTCGAATAATGCCGTGATATTCCCTAGCTAATTATTACTCCAAAACAAAATTATATCTACCGATGAAGATAAATTTCTTTCTAATCATGCGAGTCTAGTTTCCATTATATCACGATTAGATAAAAAAACTAAGAATTCTTCATGATAAGAATATTCGAATAATTGATAAACTATTCTCGTCTTTATCCTCTTGTTACCGACGTTCCTGTCGTCCAGAGCTTCACTGTTTCATTTCTAATGTAACTTGTAAATCCTCTTCGTGTCACTACTTATCGCGAAATAGGACGCGTCTGAAGTATAAAGTACAATATACGCATGCGCAGCTTACAATGTTGCCACATTTACCAGACTACGTTACCATTGGTCGAAGCTATTACAATGCAACCTTGGAAGCATATTTTTATTCTTCACTATGTATGCTCTCACTCTTTCTCTCTCTCTCTCTCTATATATATATATATATTATATATATATATATACTTTATACTCCATGCAACTTTAGTTTTTTAGTACTACTTTTTATCCCAGATAAAATGTAATTAAAACGATTTTGAATTTTACCGTATTTATCGTCTATCGAAATAAATAATAATTAATAATTAACAATTAATTATTTAGAGATAAATACGTATAACTAAAATTAAAATAAAATGTAATTGATAGAATTGATGCATGATTGGCGTAATTATTATCCAATAGAATTTGTTTCAATGCTAGTTTTTAATTCTACATAATAGAATATATCTTTACATATACGATATGAATTATCTATTAACTAATTGAAATGTACTATACAAAAATTATATATATATATATATATTAATTCTCCATCAATTTCAATATTTTATTTTACAATAAATAGAAAAGCACAAAAGTTAAAATTACTTGTTTTCTTTTTTAATAATAAATTAAGCGGGTGAAACTTTGAGGAAGTTGCATAACATCATATATTCGGTATTTTAACGACCAATTCGTTATTCATAGGATATTCGAGAATATCCGGGAAGTCATAATCTTCGACTAATTATGTTTCATAAGGAAGAGATAATAATTTAATGATCAACTGATTTGTATCGATCGAAAATTTACAATATACTTAATAAGAATTCATTTGATTTTCTTTTTAATACATACCGCATCTGAAGAAGTAAATAAATGTTAATATACATTTATGTGTATATATATATATATATATATGTATACATTATATATATATATATGTATACATTATATATATATATATATGTATACATTATATATATATGTATACATTATATATATACATAAATGTATATTATATGTAATAAGAATATACGATATATACAATGAGAATAATATCACGAAAATTATTAAAATAAAATATTAAGTAAAAAGGAATATTTTCTCAAACGTATCTCCATTTCTTTGATATTTATGGAAGTACGTTCTACGTTCTGTTTGACACGTTCCTTACCGAAGATTTTGAGAAGTAAAAGATACGTTCAGATGTGATCTGAAGCACGTACGCAATTCAGCCTTAATTATACCCTTTTCATTTACTTAGAATTTATGTATATTTGAACTATATTTCTAATCAAGAAATTCTATTTTTTAATATCAATAAAAAAATTTTTTTTAACTACGTATTCGAGATGTTTATTAAAATTTCTGGGAAGGAATTATCTTAATATATATTAAGACCAATTCAAACCTTTTTTTGACTCATTGAAAGATCGCACGTATCTCATATACGTGCACCACTTCAGAGTAAATATAAAAGCAGTATGAAGTTCCCGCTGTTTTCTTCATTTCTACGTGACTCAACGACGAAGCAAAAGCAGCAGTGGCTATAATAGTATCGAGTAGTACCAATAGTAACAAAATCAGTACATACATTACTTTAAAAAGAAAGAAAACTATAAGAGATTTAGCTCCATTTAAAACTGTATCGAACAACAATTTTGTTCAATTGGTATTTATTATCAGTTCATTCACGTAATTTAATCTTCTAGTGGAAATTTTTTAATTAATTTTGGTTTTATTTGCTCCTTAATACGCACGAGGTAAGAAGTAAATTTTTAAATACATCATTTGTTGATTTAATTAATCGAACATTATAATCTTATTCGTTGAAAATGTGAAAAGAAAAAAAAAAAGAATAACTAATGCATTTAAACGCCGTGTATTAAATCGTGATATAAAGTAAGGTTAAGTTACATTTTCTACCTATTATTCTATTTTTACTTATAGATTTCAAAAATATACACTTATTAACATAAAAATTGTTTCTTAATATATTATTTCTTCGTATAATACCTTCCAGAGAAAAGACATATGTATATATACATTGTATCTAATTATTTATAAATGTATGTTTAATGTATATATACATTTATAGATACGTTGGTATGTCCATTCGCATGATCCTAAAGTGTCATGTGCATGCGTACTAATTAAGATCAATGACAATTGATAATCGTAATATTAAAAATTTTAAATGAAATTAAACTAAATGGAAGTTTTTGTCTTTAAAATTGTTTAAAATTCACAATTTTATCTATTATTATGTGTTATGCCAATCGTGTATTCTATTTTAATAAGATTTCCAAAATACATGCGATCATGATAATATTGTGACGTAACATATTGATAATAGTAGATTTGCTAGAGTATTATAACTCTATGTTATAATTACTTCAATGATGTCATTATAATATAAAGTTTAAAGATTTTAAGGAACATTAATGTGAATAATATATTGTTTGTTATTATATATTATATATTTCATTTAGGTTATGACATAATTTTTAAAATTACATTTTCACATAACAATTCTAATTCATGTCATCATATGTGTAATAAACTTATGTAAAAAATCTACACTTGTGAATTATAGTTATCTTGTTTTTATAGTTGAGATATATATATAATCAAAATGGATTCGAAAGAAGAAATAGTGATCTACGATGAATCATTAAGTAATAGGGCAGTTAGTCATGCCAAAAGAAATCCTTTTTTGATGGCTGGTATGGATAATCTATTAAGCGATAAGCAACGATTTTTAACCACATGTTACAATGGATCTTTTTGACATTTTATCGACTTATTAATTCTAAGTATTCATATTCTTTTGTTTTAGGTTTTGCAAGTTTGATAGCAGCTTGTGCGATAGGCGTTTATAAATTTAAACGCCGAGGAAATATGCCGATATCTCACTACCTCTTGCAATTTCGAGTTCTGGCACAAAGCTCAGTAATTGGTTGCATAACTATTGGAATGGCTTATCACATGTTCAATGAACATGTTTTACACAAAGGGAAAAAAGAATGATAAAAATTGTTTAGGTAGAGTATTTGTCACAATCCTAATAAATACTAAAAGTTCGATAGATATTTCACATATGTTAGTTAGTCTGAATTAGATGAAACATAAAAAGCTAAATGTGATACTACAATAGTATTATCGTTAGACCTTGAATACTTTTGGCTGGCTCCAATGATAATATAGAAAAAATCATATTTTCTCATACTTTTTCTTTCCTACAGATATAAATATTTATGAAATAGAAAGATATGATTACATTAAGTGTTTTATTTAGAAAGATCATTACAGTAATAGTACTCTTATATATGTATTATATGTTTAAATAATATGTTTGTAATAGTGAGCATGATATATGTTATTATTCACATAAACAATTATTAATTTTATGATAAAATTTGTTGTAAAATTAACAAAGTAAAAATTTAACATTAATGAATTATTTGATGTAATATTAGAAAAATAAAAAAATTTCATATTCATGAACACTTCGTGTATTTCACTATATTTATTTTATTTTAAGAACATAAAGCGAAATTATATTTAAGGAAATAACTAGCATTCAGGTCTTGAAAATAAAATAATTTTAGCTATATATTTCAATAAGTATCAAATTTGAAATCGAAGTTATAGCAGGCCTTAAGTATAAATAAAAATAACCAATGTATAATTTTAATAATTATCATGCCATTATATGTGTTAGCTTTCTCCTTGCACATAGTATGCTTCAATAATTGATACTTTAAACTAATTTTAATTTATTTAGAGAGAAAGACAATGGTATAATGTATTGTAGTACTATAGTATAATTAACTATATTATAATAATAGTGTATTAAAATTATATAGCTGACAAATGTTAAAGCAGTTCATTACTTTTCGTTCGAAGCGTTTGTAATTCAGTAACAGTTATTACTGCACGTTCCGAAGAAAAGAAGAGGAAAGGAGATAAAAGGAAAAAAAAGAAAAAAAAAGAGAAAGAAGAGAAAGAGAAGAGAAACCATAAGAAATGAACCCATCACAAAACATTAAATAAAGAATTTGTTTTTAGTTTTTAAATTATATAATTCAAATATTTGATCTGCGACCATTAAATAACAAAACTTTTTATTTGATTTTGATCGACTGCTAAAAAATCATTGTTTAGTACATAAACAACACAATTTCTTTTTTTCTGCTACTCTTATATAAATCTGTCTCTAATCATATATGGCGCCAATATTTATTCCACTAGAGGGCGTCGATAGTGTATTAGATGTTATAACCTATATATATACTAGAATCACTGTAAATAAGCATTTATGTTTTAGAACATAAAGTTAACCTCATTTTGTGAGAATATTTTTCTACAAAGTGATAAGCCAAATTATATTAATAATTATAATATAATTGTAAATAATTATAATATAATATAATTATAATATATTTATTAAGAAACATCACAATGGTTTAATATAAATTAAATTATCATTTGTTTGATTGTTTAATTTCTCAAGTGTATATATTTGATTCAATGTCTTTTGAAGTCATCGTATTTTTAATAACAAAATTGTTTTAAATGGAATTATATATACTTTGTTTTTTCTTTTTCTTTAAATCTAACATTGAATGTTGGAGGAATTGATTTTATTTTGTCGTAAGAAAAAGAAATATAAATCATTACTAGTTATTATTATATATTGTATGTATTTTAAAATATATACTTCTATATATCTCAATAATATATAGAAGTATATATGACATATTATATATAATGCCCAATTTAATTTATGTCTAATAACACAAATATTTTTCAGTTATTTTTTCTCTACATTTCTTCTGAAAATAATACATATCAATCGAAATGGATGATATTTGGGAATCTAGGGATAAGACTATCAGAAAAGAAATACTTAAAAAAGGCATTTTTTCAAACAAACCAACAGAATGTTGTGAATGCCAGATTATAATACAAAATGTAAATGTTACTGGAATGAATGTTATGGATTTGAAAAATCAGCTTCAAACAGAAATTCTCGATGATACTGAAAAGACTATTAGGATAGGAGATGCAAATTCTGAAATCGACAGAAAAATTGAAAGGGGAATACAGATGATGATGATCGAAGAGAATTGTTTGTTTACCATATATATGCCAGCTTTATCTAAGGAAGGAAAAAAAGTTATTGTTACTTTTAATATAATTTTAAAGTATTTCAAGCCATTTAAGACAATTTGGAATTGGACTCCAGAAGAAAAATATGAGATTGCTTCGAAGTATAAAGAAGTTGGTGTAAAATTATTTAAAGAATCAAGACACATAGATGCGTTTCATAAATTTAGCAAAGCTTGCAAAATTTTAATAACACTAGAACCAATACCTGATCTAGAATTGGATAAATCATTAGAAAAAAATATTAATACATTGAGGATAATTTTATATAACAATTTAGCTGGATGTCATATAATTAGAGAGAATTATGAACATGTAATTAAATTATGTAACAAAATTTTAGAAAAAGATGAAAATAACATTAAGGCTTTGTATAGACGTGGTGTAGCTTATGGTAAATTAAGAAACATTGAAAATGCTGTTTTTGACTTGAAAAAAGTTGTTACTTTAGAGCCTCATAATGCTGCTGCAAAGGAACAATTCCTCATTTATAATCAAAAATTGCAGGAAGCAAATCAGAAGTGTAAAGATATGATAAAGAGAATGTTTCAAACTTAATAATTAATTATCAAGTATCTTTAAATCATTGACATAAAATTGTTTACAAATAATATATATATAATATACAGAATAAATAGTTATTTTATAAATAGAAAAATACGTTTTTATTTTACCCATAACAATGTTACACCACATTTGACGCATTTGTATTATTTATGTAGCTTGCAACAGTTCTCTACCTACACTTGTTATTCAATAGTTAAATATTATATATAAATACAGTGAAATTTATTTTATGTTGTATTAAAACACAATACTAGTACAAAAAGATTTGAAGGATAAATAATTGAGCGTTTAATATAATATAATTGTAATATACATTTCCATCTATTGTTCTGAATGATATCCTAGTATGATAGTATGAAAGCATTTAATAAGTGTAATCATTTCAAAAACTGTTTTCATACGCATTACGAAAATGAAACAAATGTACACAATTTCTTAAATGTGTATTTAATGAAATGCTTTATTGTAATCTTAAAAATTTCAAATTAGTTACTTTCTTATACTGTGAAAATGCTATTACAAATGTATTAAACTTAAAATCTTGATAATCTTACAAAATGGCATAAACAGAAACAATGTCATTCTTAATATGTAAATTCAACTTAATTTGTATAATTTACACATTAATTTTGGATTTCTCCATATGAATTAAAATACTTTACATTGAAATTATATACAAGAAGAACTTTTAGCGAATTTTTCATTTAGGATAAATGTTATTACTAATCTCCATGTATACAGTAAACAGAGATATGTATACGGTACGGGCAACTTCAATGGCACCTTATACAATGATGCATGAAAAATAATTTTACTGCTCGGTCATTAGATAATATTGATAATATTGATGAACAGTTATGTTTAGTTAAAATATTATAACTATTATTAAAATATAATCTAAATTTGATAGCATTAATCAACACTAAATAAGTAGATCATTTGTATTCATTTATATCTATCTTTTTTTCTCCAGATTAGATATTTACAGAGGAATATTAAAGTCTTTCAAAAATAAACCACAATACAGAAAGTAACATATTAAACAAAGTTATAAGAAATATAATTCAATGCAAATGTGAATGTTATTATCTGCAAGTTCAAATTACTTAAGGCATAATCTCGCACTAAATTATTTCTTTAATTAATTACGCATTACCATATGTATGTAATAAAGAACATAACAATAGAAAAAAACTATTAATGTTGCCAAACCATTAGAACTGTCCTTCTTGTTTATAAAATATTATATACTTTAATAATTTTATATAAATGACTGTTTGTGTTGTAATAACTTTTTTGTTAACATATTCATGCCAAATTTTATGCTACGTTTGTAAAAATACTAATTGTACAGAATAAAATTAGTTCAACTCATGCATCATTTTTAATTATATCTAAACAAATACGAAAAAAACGCTCGAGAATTAAAATTGTTTACTACCAAACATATAAAATTAAATATAATATTAATATTTATCTGGCAAGATAACTAAATTTTGATATATGCATACGATAAGTTTTATTACCTACAATTACTCAATGAATACTTGTAATAATCTATCAAATAGAAGATTATTTCTTGACATATTTTTGCATAGCATACAAATTTTATAAATATTTTATAAATTAAACATAATGCTTTCTTGTTGGTTGAAGAATTAGAAAGAATGATAAAGATAATTTAAGCAATATTAAATATAATACAGAATTACATAAGGCATTTCATAAAAAACATTCACAGATATCTTTTTTACTACATTTTTTTCATATGAGCAATCTTGGAAATAAAGTCTATCATATACATTACATAATTTTTATCAATATTAATACCATATTGGCAACAATATTTACCTTATAATTAAGTTAGATAATACAATCTTACAGAACTTATAAATTCTCCCTGCAGATTATTATTCTGTCAAGTGACACAGTTAATATAGTCACATGTTACATCAATATGGCATGTATATCTTAGTTGCGTTGGTATAGTTGGACCATAACACATCTTTTAAATTTTACAGAATACAAAATAATACCATTAATCAAAAATATTATAAGATTCCCACATAGTTTCTTTATTTTGGATCACGAGTATCATATTTATAATATAATAAACATAATATTGTGTTATTGAATTTTCAATATAATGTACCATTATTACTAACAAAAAAAAAAAAAAAATAAAATTCATGATCCATTAGAAACAAGGGGCTTGAAAATCATATAGAATCAGAAGTTAATAATAACAATTTGTGTTATTTATATTGTATTCAATAAAAAAATAATTAGAGTACATTATTAAGTTTCTGGCACAAACATAATGTGAATTAATTACACCAAATTTGTGGCAATAGAAAACTGTGTTTTTCCAAAAAATGATATTCTAATTATAAAAATTATAAAAAGTATTTATTTCAATGTATTATAATTTAGGTTGTAGCGATAAAAAAAATATGTCCAGACAGAAATATCTAATACGTTTATATCATCATAATCCTATTTACGCTTTTTCGAAGGCATTTTCAATTCACTAAAGCATTAT